TCCCTCCCTCCCACCCTCCCTATCCCACCCCTCCAGGCAGTCACAAAGCACCGAGCTGATCTCCCTGTGCTATGCGGCTGCTTCCCACTAGCTATCTGTTTTACGTTTGGTAGTGTATATATGTCCATGCCTCTCTCTCGCTTTGTCACAGCTCACCCTTCCCCCTCCCCACATCCTCAAGTCCGTTCTCCAGTAGGTCTGCGTCTTTATTCCCGTCTTACTTGATGAATCTCCTTATGTCCTCAAGTCCATTCTCTAGTAGGTCTGCGTCTTTATTCCCGTCTTACTTGATGAATCTCCTTATGTCCTCAAGTCCATTCTCTAGTAGGTCTGCGTCTTTATTTCCGTCTTACTTGATGAATCTCCTTATGTCCTCAAGTCCATTCTCCAGTAGGTCTGGGTCTTTATTCCCGTCTTACTTGATGAATCTCCTTATGTCCTCAAGTCCCTTCTCCAGTAGGTCTGGGTCTTTATTCCCGTCTTACTTGATGAATCTCCTTATGTCCTCAAGTCCATTCTCTAGTAGGTCTGGGTCTTTATTCCCGTCTTACTTGATGAATCTCCTTATGTCCTCAAGTCCATTCTCTAGTAGGTCTGCGTCTTTATTCCCGTCTTACTTGATGAATCTCCTTATGTGCCTTTACTGTGCTGGGGGAGTTGCTCAGGAGTCCACAGAGATCTGGAGACATTACACTGGTAAAACAGTTAACAGAAGACTGAGGGAGACTGAATTATTATTCTCATATTGGCGGTACCGGTCAGGCTACTGTGCAGTGTAAGCTGAACACAGCTTCCTGGCTTGACCTTGTGTCCTTGGTCTGATTTCTTGTCTCCAGAATGTCCAACCCCCTGAGCTCTGGTTTTCATCCTTACCTCCCATTTTTAGACTATGCCCTCTGGCAATGCCCTAGAAACCTTGCCATTTTCAAATTTTTATTATTCCCTTGAGTTCTTTTGTTCTCTTTGTTCACTTTTCTGGCCATTTTGTTTTCTGCTTCATTCTTTCATAGGTTCATAGTTTTCTTTGTTCCTTTCATCCCCCTTTTCTTGGCTAGTTTTTCAATTCTCTCATCTTTCAGTCTCCTTTACTCACCTCCGTTTTGTGTCTGATGAGATGTGGTTATCAGCAAAAAATCTGAGGAACTTTAGCATTTATCTCGTCCTCCTCCGCCCCACATTCAACGCAGGCCTCTTCCCTACTGTATTTCTTCCCGAGTTCTCTAGTCTACATTCCATTATTTTTTATGATGGCTCATAAGGGACTCTTATATTTTTGAATGATTCTAATGGCTGAATGTTCTTCATGGTACCAAATTGAAATTGGTCTCCTTATAACTTCTGTTAGTCCTAGTTCAAGTCTCTGAAGGTGTTAGAATATGTATAATTTCTCATCCACAGGCTATTCCTTCGTATATTAAAGAGAATTATTATTTTCCCCTCCTCTTTTCCTGGCTGAATATACCTGGTTGAACTTTTGTTTTAATCATTTCTCATATAATATTTTCTATACATATAATTTTATCTGTTATTCTTCTGTGAACCCACTCCAGTGTTTTTATGTCATTCCTTAAATGTGGGTCTTGGCAAATACCGTATGCTAACACATATATATGGAATTTAAGAAAAAAAAATGTCATGAAGAACCTAGGGGTAAGACAGGAATAAAGACCCAGACCTACTAGAGAACGGACTTGAGGATATGGGGAGGGGGAAGGGTAAGCTGTGACAAAGTGAGAGAGAGGCATGGACATATATACACTACCAAACGTAAGGTAGATAGCTAGTGGGAAGCAGCTGCATAGCACAGGGAGATCAGCTCGGTGCTTTGTGACCGCCTGGAGGGGTGGGATAGGGAGGGTGGGAGGGAGGGAGGGAGGGAGACGCAAGAGGGAAGAGATATGGGAACATATGTATATGTATAACTGATTCACTTTGTTATAAAGCAGAAACTAACACACCATTGTAAAGCAATTATACCCCAGTAAAGATGTTAAAAAAAAACTGTGGGTCTTGGGGTTTGACATAATAATCCAAACATGATCTGAAATACTTTATATTTAATCCTAATTAAATTTCATCTTCTTAATTTGGTTCTTTTTTTAAAATTGAAGTTTAGTTGATTTACAGCATTGTGTTAGTTTCCGGTGTACAGCAAAGTGATTCAGTTTTATATATATACATATATATGTATATATATAATCTATCTTTTTCAGATTCTCTTCCATTAAAGGTTATTATAAGATATTGAATATAGTTCTCTGTGCTATACAGTAGGTCCTTGATGTTTATCTGTTTTATATATGGTGGTGTGTGTGTGTTAATCCCAAACTCCTAATTTATCCCTCCCTCCCTCTTTCCCCTTTGGTAACCTAAGTTTGTTTTCTATGTCTGTGAGTCTATTTCTGTTTTGTAAATAAGTTCATGTGTATGATTTTTTGAGATTCTACATATAAGTGATATCATATAATATTTGTCTTTGACTTACTTCACTTAGTATGATAATCTCTAGGTCCTTCCATGTTGCTGCAAATGGCATTATTTCATTCTTTTATATGGCTGAGTAATATTCCATCATATATATATATATATATACACACACACACACACACATATATATATACACACACATATACATATATATATATATATATATATATATATATCTCCCACATTTTCTGTATGGTATATATACCATATATATATATACACCACATCTTCTGTATCCGTTCATCTGTCGATGGACATTTAGTTTGCTTCCTTGTCCTGGCTATTGTAAATAATGCTGCTATGAACATTGGGGTGCATGTATCTTTCTGAATTAGAGTTTTTGTCTTTTCCTGATATATGCCCAGGAGTGGTATTGCTGAATCACATAGTAACTCTATTTTTAGTTTTATAAGGAACCTCCATACTGTTTTCCATAGTGACTGCACCAACTTACATTCCCACCAACACTGCAGGAGGGTTTGCTTTTCTCCACACCCTCTCCAGCATTTATTATTTGTAGATTTTTTTAATGATGGCCATTCTGACTGGTGTGAGGTGATACCTCATTGTAGTTTTGATTTGCATTTCTCTAATAATTAGCAATGTTGAGCATCTTTTCATGTGCCTGTTGGCCATCTGTATGTCTTCTTTGGAGAGATGTCTGTTTAGGTCTTCTGCCCATTTTTTGATTGGGTCATTAGTTTGTTTTTTTTATATTGAGCTGTATGAGCTGTTTGTATATTTTGGAAATTAATCGCTTGGCAGTCACATTGTTTGCAAATATTTTCTCCCATTCCGTAGGTTGTCTTTTCACTTCACTTATGGTTTCCTTTGCTGTGTTAATCTGATTCTTTATTCCACTCTTAATTGAAATTGCCTTTTAAAGCAGTCTATCAGCCAGTGGATTCGATATTTTTTCCAGCTTTTTTATCATCTGAAAATTAGATAGGCATGATTTCCATCAATATTCATTCAAGTCATTGATAAAACTGTGCATCAGGACAAAGCCTGGGCAGAGTTGTGAGACTTGGGGCTAGAAACCTATCCCTGGGGAAGACAGTTAATTAAGCAGCACTCACTGGGTGGTGCTGTTCAGTATTTGTCCACACTCAATATTCCAGCTCATACAGAACACATCTTGAAGCTTCTTAGCTGTCTTGCTGAAATCCAGACACACACTGTTTCTGGCCTTCCTCTCTCACAAACCATATCACAAAAGTGTTCATAACATCAATTCAGCATCATTTTCTCTTTCTAAACCTTCTCTGGAATTTCCTAGTAGTTATTCTGTAAGTGCTTGCAAGCTCTGAAGCAGTTTAAACTGTTTCATAGATTAACGTCAATCTCCCTGTTCTGTCATCTACAGATTATACCATTTTCTACTTCTTAAATTTTAGGGTAAAATTTACTTGTATCCAGTCTTCAATCATCTTTACCACTGCAAAATTTCCCAGAATATACTGACAATAGTCGCCCACACCCACCCCGCATCTTCAGATTCCTTCAGGAAGTTGGGATGTTACTCAACTGGGTTAACAGATGTGTGTGTATAAAAAATAATTTTTTCTTTTTTTTTTTTTACTAAACCATTTGTGAGATAGTTTCAGGCCTCATGCATGACATTTTACCCGAAAATATTTCAGCACGTATTCCCTGAGAACGTGGAGGACATTTGTTTATATAAACACAGTATAATGATCACTCTCAAGAAATTTAACATTGGTACAATACTGTTATCTAATATAGAATGTTTATTCCAATTTCCCCAATAATGTCCTTTATAACTATCTTTTCTTCTCTGTTTTGGGTCCAATCAAGGCTCACACATTGCATTTAGTCGTCAAATATCTTGAATCTCCTTTAATCTAGAATTGTTCCTTAACTTTTTTGGATCTTTCAGAATGTTGACATTTTTGAAGAGTCTAGACCAGTTGTTTTGCATAATATCCCTCAATTTGGATTTGTCCAGTTGTTTTCTGATTACTAGATTCAGGGTAAATATTTTTGGTGGGAATTCTATGTAGGTGATGTTGTGTCCTTCTCAGTGCATTGCATCAGGAGGCTCATGATATCAATTTGTTCCATTAACTACAAGGTTAAGTTAAACTATTTATGAGTAATATTCAGCAGATCTCTTTATGCAAAGGTACATTTTCTCCTTTGTACTAATACGTAATCTGTGAGGTGTTATTTTGAGACTGGTTGAATATCTAGCTCCCCAGTAACCTTTCTTGAGTAATGTTTTTAAACCTAAAGGAACTAAGATACCACTCATTTCTAACTGAAATTGAGCTTTTTTAATTTGTTTAAATCTCCAGTGCTGACACAGTGTCTAGGTATTTGAATATGTATTAAAATTATGATCAATTATAATATGGATCGGACATAGTCTGATTGTTCCCTAACTAGAATACTTGGTTTACCAGACCTGTTAGTGACCTGTTAATGACTCCTTTCCTCCCTAAAGTTCTGTTCTTTCTGAAATTAAGTGAAACTCTACTAAGACTGCCACCCATATTTCCGATTTCTCCCTTCCTTAAAATTATTTATTCCATATTTCTGTAACAAAGTCTTCATATTATCTATTAGACCTTTCACCTCGGCTTCTCTCCATCTTTTCTTTTCACCTTTTTATTTTCTTTTTTTAAAAAAATTTTATTTTATATTGGAGTGTAGGTGATTTACAATGTTGTGTTAGTTTCAGGTGTACAACAAAGTGATTCAGTCATACATATACATGTATCTGTTCTTTTTCAAGTATTTTTCCCATTTAGGTTATTATAGAATATTGAACAGAGGTCCCTGTGCACACCTTTTTATTTTCAATGTTGCTTCCCCTTCCTTGAACAGGAAGAATTGTAGAAAGACAGGGTACCAAAGTCCCCACTTTACATAAAGCTGTGACCTCACCACTAACAAATGGGAAATTTAAATTTATGTCACTGTCTTAGAGGAGAAAAGAAATGTTACTTTATCATCATTTTCATTTTGGTTCCTGGAAATTCTTAATATACACTTTCTGTGCAAATAAACTATGGGCTTCAACAAGTTTGCTACATGTTCTATAAGTCATAGTCACCTCCATAAGCTCCAGGGAAGCTAACAATTTTAGATGCAGGGAGTGAACCAAACTTCGTAGTTTAAACAAGTCAATCACTTTACGCATTTAACAAATTAGGGTTGTTTTTTTTTTTAAAGGACTTTTTAAAAAGAGCGTATTCTCCTGTTCGAAATCTAAAGATTCTTTTCCAATATGTTACTTCCAACTGTTTCACAGGCATTAGGGGAGAGGGAAGAAATGAAAAAAAATCCTCAGATTGTAAAGATTCTGCATCATGTAACCTTATGTGTAATGTTTAAATAGCTAAAATTATCCTTTTCCTCCTAGATCCACATCTCCATTAGCAAGGCTCCATGGATCGTCCATCTTGGAGAGGCACCACCTGGAGTACAGTAAGACTCTCCTGCAGGATGAGGTACGTGGGTCTCTCTCTCTCTCTCTCTAGGGCAGCTCACAAGCTCTGGATCAAAGCACTAACCCACAGAAAATGCTTAGAAAGAGGACGGCCTTGAGTTCTGGCGGTTGACAGTATATACCTTTATTGAAGTCAATTGATAGAAATTGCTATATTGCAATAGTTTTTGAACAGCCAAGTTGGAAGTAGCTGAGATAGAGGAGAAAAGAGCCATGGAAAGTCACAGAATGTCTGTGGGTTTGTGAAGAAAGAAGAAAAAGCTTAAGGTGGATGTGAGAGGGCTCTATGCACCCTGGGTATGTATGAATGTGAAGAGAAAAGGAGGCTGCACAGCCACTGCTTTTCTGATTCATGTGGTATGCACTGTAAGGCACTGTCTGTATCTCTGAGAAAGTCAAGCTTTGGTAGTTGAGGGGTAGGCATGAAATCAGGCTGTAAGACAGATCGGACAACTGCCATCAGAGGCACTGAGTGAATCTCCCAAGAGTTCCAGAGGGAGGTGTCACATTCAGGAGTGGGCAGGACACAGGGGAGAAGAGGGGTGGGATCAGGAAGCTTTTCACAGGAAGTGGCTTAAGCTTGGTCTTGAATTCACTTTGATTTATGCAATATCATGTACTACTAACCTTCTGTAGAAGGCAGTCATTATTCTTTTTACTGATTTTATGTGAGGGGTATAGAGGCTTGTGAGAAAGGTGGTGAATATAATCTAGTTTTACTTTAAAAAAATATATCTTGAGAAAATTCTAACCCAGAATGAATCATTAGTAGATGGATGGGAATACTGCTTTGTCTCGACAGAGAAACTGTCTAGAATCATACGAGTTCATTAGGATAAATAAGCCTTCGGGAGAGTGGAGCTTTTTTCAGTTTCAATAATAATCTTTTTTTAGGCTCAGGGGACACGGGTATATGGAAATATGTCCAAGTTTAGAAACATAACACTACATTCTTCTAGATAATCAAAAGCCAAGTGGGAAAACTTGTAAGACAGGGCAACCAGGCAGAAAAGTGGAAAAACAAAACAAATAAACACATGATTTAAATGTTTTCAACAGCCTGTGATTGCAGGCTGCATCCAGACAGGGGGACACAGACCATCTGCGTCAGAGTGATCGATTTCACAGGGCGGAGGTGGGCAGGCTTTCAAAAACACATCCTGGGCTTCATCTTGCGCTTACCAGGCTCCCTGGGGATTGGACCCAGGAATCTGCATTTTTAATAAGAATTTTCATAATTCTCATGTGTAGCCAGGACCTGTCCCTGCAGTAGTATCATAAAAAGGATGATAATATCTGTCCTATGAGAATTAGAAAGAGTAGAATTGAAAGTAGTTCAGGAAGATAAGAGTAAATTGTTATTATCCAATTTGTTATGAGTCTTTGTTTTACTGGTTGGGACAGTCTTGTATTTTTGAGTAAGAATTTTCCATTCATCCCACTGATTATGTATATCACAGGCAGGTAGTATCAAAAATAATTTATTTAATTTTACGTTTACCTACTAACGCAAAATATATTTTTAAACCTTTACAGCCAAATGTTTAAGTGCTTAACTTTGGAAGGCTCCTAGTAGCTCATATGTTTTTCCTTTCTGGGATTTGAGAGTTTATAATAGAGTTGTTGTTTTCCATCTTAATTTTTTTAATGTTATTTACTCTGCAGTCTGAACTGGTTTTGATGGCTATATAAAGGCTTATTATTCTTTCTAAAAAGGAATATTGCATCTTAGTAATCTGTACCACCTTGGCGAGGACCTGTCTACAGTGCTATTCGACCTGCTAATTGCAGACTTTTAAGGGCTGTAAATAGAGTCGCTAGGCAATAGATGCAATCACAGAGCATTTTATGAGCAGGCAAATTGAATGCTGAAAAAAAATGAAATTTTAACCATCAGATGTTCTTTTTTGAGACAATACAGTTGTCTCAGTACATTTTTTGAGAGACAATACAGTTCTTTTATTTATTTATTGTATAAAGAAAATATTTACACTTAAAACTAATTTTTTTACATAAGGGAAATCCTTATGATTTATCTAGCAATTTTGTCATATTGTGGACGTTACTTATTTTGTTTTGTATATTATCAGGCTTTGAACTAAAATATCTTTATGTCCCAGTAGAGTTGGATTCCCTGCTTTGAGGACAGAACCATCTGTATTCTAAACTAGTCAGAAACCCACCCTTTAACCTAATGAATAGGTGGAAAAGTCTTGTTAGCCAAATTTGTCAGAATAGAAACTTTCATACTACAATGTACTGTCGGAATGACAAAATGCATTGCTCAGCATAAATAACAACACTTTTATTATTCAAAACACTTCAAGAACTTTATTTATGCTTTTTCACACTGACCTTGTATTATACAAAGAAGAAATGAAGAAGAAATTAAATATCTTGCGTATGGTCACCAGCAAACCACAAACATGTTGGCAGTCTTCTCTTATGGGTGTCACATGTAGCACATTGAAGACTAGAACTCATCTCCCCTGAGTGCCCTCATCAGGATGAATTGGAGCCATTTCTATTTTGGTGTGCTACGCAGAGCTTATATTTTATTGCCATTTTCGTGGCACTAGGAGAACGGGGGAGCAAAGTTAGACTCTTTCTGTGGGCAGGTGAAACCAGCTGAGCAGATGGGGGCCCAGCTGGAGTGGGGCTGGGACAGAGACCTCCTCTCTTGTTCTGTGCACCTGTCTCTACATCACGTGTCCAGCACAATTCCCCGGAAGAACAAATGGAATATTATAGACTTATCTATATTTTAAATTAATGACAATAGTTGTAAAAATTACACATGCCCGCTATAAAAATTAAAGCAATAGGAAACATTCCAAAGATAAATATTAAAAAATCACGTTAAATTCTATCACTCAGAAATAGACATTTCATTAACATTTAATGAAATTCATTGTAGCCCTCTGTGAATATATAAAGGGAGAAGGACAGAAACAATTTTAGAAAAATGGGATCTTACTATCCAAGCTATTTTTTTGGTTAGAGTTTTTATTTAATTAAGTTTATTGAAGTGTAATGTATGTACAATAAGCGGCATCCCTTTAATTTGTTTTTCATAAAAGTTCTATGAATTCTATTCATACACCTGGGAACTACCACACTCAAGATACAGAACACTTCTGTCATCCCAAAGGATTCCTTTTGCCCCCGGGCAGTCAATGCCTCTCTCTCCTCCCAGCCTGAAGCAACCATTGAAATGTTTTCAGTCACTATAGTTTAAATCTTCTAGATTTTTATATAAACGAAATCATGCAATAATTACTCTTTTGTGCTGGGTTCTTTCATACAGAATAATAATTTTGTGATTTGTTCGTGTTGAATGAATGAATCAGCAGTGATTCATTCCTTTTCACTGCTGAGTGGTAGTCCATTTATTTTATATGAAAATTTTAATTCTACTACTTGAATTTTACAGAAGAAACTTTTTTTTAATGGAAAGAATTACAGAATTTCAGAGGACTGTGTTCTTATCACAAGAGATATTAGTTCTTAAAGAGAACCCTAAAATCAATAACCGGTGATTACGGGAAAGTGTGAAAAACTATAACAAACATTTAGATGTTTGATTTTAGACCATACCTGTTAACTTTACATCATCCATGAACTCCCTGCTATGAAACGTGAAACAATTAGAATACTTATACTGCTTCCAGCATCTCCACCTCTATTTTGTAAGGTATTTATTATCCTTAAAAGTATTTTTTTTTACTGTTATCAGTAGTTATAAAATTCATTTTGCTCTATAATTTCCACAATTGTCTATTTTTTTTAAACCAGAGCATTTATTGCATGACTAATGGTTGAAATCCCTAAGATGAACTGGATTCTACCCCAGTGGCTTTCTTGGGTTAGGTGTTGTTTTCCCCAGAATCCATGCCTGAAGCTTCAGTATACAATCTGTAGGTGCTTCACTTGCCTGCTCCAGTGGTGTTCTGTCCTCAGCCTAGGCACTCCGGGCACACTTCCTCTTCTGCCTGGTAGGGCAGCCACATTTGTCACAGGTGTGCTTCTGAAGGTGGGAGGCCTTAGAGCCACAGTGTGCGTCTCATTGTGATGCTTTCCAAATGACAGTGTTCCCTTTGTCATCTCTTTTCTGTGGCCAAGACCAAAGAAGCACAACTGTTTATTCCTAATTCTACTTTTACATGGGCCTGATACTTAACCTCAGTCTTTCTACCATGGCTTGTCCATTCCTCTGTATTTTATTTTATCTTGATTAGCTCGATTTGTGTTATTTGGTAGTTTTTCCCAGAGAGTCTAAGCTAAGTACATGCCTAAGATCTGTTTGTTACATTTAGTTTTGAAATTCAGTTTGGCAGAATATAAAGGTCTTGGGTCACTTTCTTTTTCTCAGAAATTGTAGGAAATTGCTCCAATGTCTTTCGGCATTGAAGCATTGCCCTGAGAGGTATAAATGGCCAACCTGATTTTCTCCCTCTCATGTGACTTGATTTTTCTGCATAGATACTCATGATTCTTTTTTGTTTGTTTTTATACTGCAGGTTCTTATTAGTCATCAATTTTATACACATCAGTGTATACATGTCAATCCCAATCGCCCAATTCAGCACACCACCATCCCCACACCACAGTTTTCCCCCCTTCATGTCCACACGTTTGTTCTCTACATCTGTGTCTCAACTTCTGCCCTGCAAACCGGTTCATCTGTACCATTTTTCTAGGTTCCACATACATGCGTTAATATACGATATTTGTTTTTCTCTTTCTTACTTCACTCTGTATGACAGTCTTTAGATCCATCCACGTCTCAACAAATGACTCAATTTTGTTCCTTTTTATGGCTAATATTCCATTGTATATATATGTACCACAACTTCTTTATCCATTCGTCTGTCGATGGGCATTTAGGTTGCTTCCGTGACCTGGCTCTTGTAAATAGTGCTGCAATGAACATTGGGGTGCATGTGTCTTTTTGAATTATGGTTTTCTCTGGGTATATGCCCAGTAGTGGGATTGCTGGAT